TTCTTGTGCTTTTCCTGAAAAGCGCAGCTGTAGTGTGGTTCTAGGCATCTCTATACTTTGCTTGCTCATATGCATGTAGTCACTTTATAAGTCATTGTATGTTATTATATTCCGTAGGTAGATGTGTAACCTCTTCACCTTATTCATGGCTGAAGTCACCTCTTGGTTACAGTAGCGTAGCGTGCCCGTGTGCATGTCCTTTGCACCTGTGACCACCATCCCAGTGGAGGTTTGTCGGGCACCAGCCAGCGTAGCAGGGTCGGGAAAGGCCACCTGTCCCACTCCTACGATACGCTACTATAAAGAGAAGACGAAATAGTGACATAATATATTCTATTTTTATACTCTTCCTATTTTTGTAGTGACCTGTTTATGAGACGCTGGTTTTCTACCCAACGGCCCCACAGCCAGCTCACGTCCAGGTTCAACCCACAGCTACTTGGTTTGTGTTCTTCTCAATATTCTAAAACCATTCCATTTCCAAGCACTTTCAGTCCAATAGGTGTAGGAAATAGCGCTGTTTTTGTTGTGTGTGGAGGGAGGGCAGTTTTCTAATGGAATGGTTTGGGAATATCCTTGTACTTGTGTGTAAGCAGGACTTCGAGGCAAGTGCGGGCCACTGTGGTGGCAGTGGAGGTGGGGTGTTTGGGAGGCTGCGTGCCAGTTAAGAAGAAAAAGGTTTGCATTCTCACATTGCCAGGATGATAAGTTCCTTTCCTTTTCTTTAAAGAAGTTGAAGTTTAGGAATCCTTTGGTGCCAACTGGTGTTTGAAAGTAGGGATCTCAGAGGTTTACCTAGAGAACAGGTGGTTTAAGGGTTATCTTAGATGTTTCACACCGGAAGGTTTTTAAACACTAAAATATATAATTTATAGTTAAGGCTAAAAAGTATATTTATTGCAGAGGATGTTCATAAGGCCAGTATGATTTATAAATGCAATCTCCCCTTGATTTAAACACACAGACATACATACACAAACCTTCTGCCTTTGATGTTGCAGGTTTAATACAGTTTATTTTTAAAGATAGAACCTTTTAGAGGTGAGAAAAAACAATCTGGAGGAAAAAAAAACACACAAAGACATTGATTCAGCCTGTTTGGCATTTCCCAAAGTCATCTGATTGGAAAGGCATGGGTGTCACAAGGAAAATTAGGGTACTCGACATAAGTTCGGTTCCGATATATTCTTATCCCCTGCCCCTTCCTTTAAAAAACTTAGTGACAAAATAGACAATTTGCACATCTTGGCTCTGTAATTCTTGTAATTTTTATTTAGGAAGTGTTGAAGGGAGGTGGCAAGAGTGTGGAGGCTGATGTGTGAGGGAGGACAGGCGGGAGGAGGTGTGAGGAAGAGGCTCCCGAGGGGACGGGGCGGTGCCCACACCGGGGACAGGCTGCAGCTCCGTTTTCTTATTGCGCTGCTACCGTTGACTTCCAGGCACGGTTTGAAAATATTCACATCGCTTCTCTGTATCTCTTTCACATTGTTTGCTGCTATTGGAGGATCAGTTTTTTGTTTTACAATGTCATATACTGCCATGTACTAGTTTTAATTTTCTCTTAGAACATTGTATTACATATGCCTTTTTTGTAGGTTTTTTTTTTTTATGTGATCAATTTTGACTTAATGTGATTACTGCTCTATTCCAAAAAGGTTCCTGTTTCACAATACCTCATGCTTCACTTAGCCATGGTGGACCCAGCGGGCAGGTTCTGTCTGCTTCGGCAGGCAGACACGCGGGCGCAATCCCACACAGGCTGGTGGGGGCTGGCCCCGAAGCCGCGTGCGTGAGAACCATGCCGGTGTCCCCGGAGACCAGGCTGTGTCCATCTTCTCTTCCCTGCGCCTGTGACGCTGGGCTCTTCATCTGATCGGGGGCGTATCATCATAGTAGTTTTTACAGCTGTGTCATTCTTTGCGTGTAGCTATGGAAGTTGCATAATTATTATTATTATTATTATAACAAGTGTGTCTTACGTGCCACCACGGCGCTGTGCCTGTAGGACTCTCATTCGGGATGATTGGAATAGCTTCTGGAATTTGTTCAAGTTTTGGGTATGTTTAATCTGTTATGTACTAGTGTTCTGTTTGTTATTGTTTTGTTAATTACAGCATAATGCTAATTTAAAGAGACTCCAAATCTCAATGAAGCCAGCTCACAGTGCTATGTGCCCGGGTCACCTAGCAAGCTGCCGAACCAAAAGAATTTGCACCCCGCTGCGGGCCCGCGTGGCTGGGGTCCTGCCCTGGCAGGGTCATCCTGTGCTCAGAGGCCATCGTGGGCACAGGCCCATCCCGCCCCACCCCTCCAGAACACGGCTCACGCTTACCTCAACCATCCTGGCTGCGGTGTCTGTCTGAACCACGCGGGGGCCTTGAGGGACGCTTTGTCTGTCGTGATGGGGCAAGGGCACAAGTCCTGGATGTTGTGTGTATCGAGAGGCCAAAGGCTGGTGGCAAGTGCACGGGGCACAGTGGAGTCTGTCCTGTGACGTGCAAGTCTGAGGGTCTGGGCGGCGGGCGGCCGGGTCTGTGTGTTTCTGGTTGCACCGCGGCGCTTCCCAGCACCAACATGTAACCAGCATGTTTCCAGCAGAAGACAAAAAGACAAACGTGAAAGTCTAGAAATAAAACTGGTAAAACCCCAGCATGGTGCCCGCCTGTTTGCTTCCTGGGCTGGCCGGGAGCCAGGGGCGCGTGTCCCAGTGCCCCAGAACCAGGGCAGGGTGGCAGGCTCAGCAGATGCGGGAGGCCACAGCCTGTCCTGTGCACTGCGGGAAGTTCAGCGGCATCCTGACCTCCACCCACAGGATGACAGTCACGCCACCCACTGTAACAACCAAGAATGCCTCCTGACACTGCCACATCCCCGGGGGTGGGGACAGAATCCAGCCAGGAGCAGGCACACCCTTCCCAACCGGGAGGAAGCCCTGAGCACAGGGGTGTGAGGTGGGAGGGGGACTCCTGTCCTGGGGAGGCTCCAAAGAATAGTTTGCAGGCAGCCTGGCTGGGTGAGCCCACCTCCAATCACGCGAGATAATAGCTCCAGCCTGGGTGACGTGAGTGGTGCCCATTGATTGGGAACATCTTCCATCCCTTGCTTGCCCCACCAGTTTGTCTTCTCAGGTTATTTGCAGATAGGAAAATAAATAAAGCCGGCATTTGTTAACCCTCTTCTGGCACAAACTGCTGTTTGCTCTGGATGAATCATGACCCTCTGGCAACGCCAGGCTCCAGGAGAGCAAAGCACCGTGTCAGGGCTGTGATCCAGGGTGGCCTTTCACTGGGATTGTGGAGACCTGGAGGCTGCCTTATAGGATGCCCGTGACGTCCACCTCTGGATTTCAGGTGCATGTGACTGAACCTAACTTCAAACCCCGGGGTGGAGGTGGGTAGTGGGAGTGCCCTGGGAAGGTGTCCGCGGACCTTGGTCACTGCTCCTGGACCCATCTGTGAGGTTGGTCTGTCCTCACCCCAAGCCAAGTGGAAGCTCAGGTCCCACGTCACTGATGGTTACTACTTGTCAGCTGTAGGTCGAATCTCTGGCCTTTATGAAGCACCTGCTGTCTACCCTTCCTGCCTTGTAGAGCACTCCTCCCAGGGCGGAAAGGGGGGCAAGGGTGGTCAGTGTGTTGACTCCACAGGCGCCTGCCCTGGGAGGAAGGTGGGGTGTGGAGGGAAACACGGCCCCTATAGGTCTCCACCAGCCTCTGCCCTGAGGGTGGGGGCTCCGGGAGCCTTCCCCAAGGGAGTCCCATATTGAGTGGGTGGGGGAGCCTGCAGGGTGCCCCTGACAGGTCACCTCAGCAAGAGCTCAAGGGACCGTCGGAGCCAGAGGTGACACTGGTGGCCACTCAGGTGGCTTACAAGGCCCAGCTCCTTGCTCCTTGGGCAAATGACTCTGAAGCTGCACTACTGTGGCTGTTCAGTTCTGGGCAAGAGCCAGGTCCTGTGTCAGGGCTGGGGTCCTAGGGAAGCCATGTCCCCGCCCCCAGCCTGCAGCTGAGTTTACCTTCATCCCCGAGAGCACATGGGTGTAGCAGAAGGCCTGTGCAGAGAGTTCCAACCATCGCACAGGGCACCTTTGGTTGTTTCACGGAGCAGGCAAGGTAGCCATCAGACCCTGTTAGGTTTGAGCAAGGATGTGGGGAAGAAGCTGGAGAGCCACTTTGCCGAGCGCGGGGCTCAGCCAGGCTGGCAGGGCAGGGCAGGGGCCCTGAGTGGGTCAGGTGTGTTCACGGCCAAGTGTGTAGAGAGGGCTCGGGCCCAGAGTGAAGCGGTTGTGAGCTCCCCCACAGCCCAGTCTCTCTGTCTCGGCATCTGTGGCATCCCTTTGATGGTGGGGTCTGTACACCCCCCACCCCTGGCTGTGCCACGATGGGGGGATCTGTACATCCCCTGATCCCCCCACCCCTGGCTGTGCCACGATGGGGGGATCTGTACATCCCCTGATTCCCCCACCCCTGGCTGTGCCACGATGGGGGGATCTATACACCTTCCACCCCTGGCTGTGCCACGATGGGGGAGTCTGTACATCCCCCGATCCCCCCACCTCTGGCTGTGCCACGATGGGGCGGTCTGTACACCCTCCACCCATGGCTGTGCCACGATGGGGGGGTCTGTACATCCCCCGATACCCCCACCCCTGGCTGTGCCACAATGGGGGAGTCTGTACACCCCCACAGTGAAGGGTGGGTCTATATATCATGGTCATGCCACGAGCTCCAAGGCTATATTAGTCTGTTTTCATGCTGCTAACAAAGACATACCCAAGACTGAGTAATTTATAAAGAAAAAGAGGTTTAATAGGCTCACAGTTCTACGTAGCAGGAAAGGCCTCACAATCATGGCAGAAGGTGAAAGGCACATCTTACATGGAGGCAGGCAAGAGAGAATGAGAGCCAAATGAAAGGGGAAACCCCTATAAAACCATCAGCGCTCATGAGACTTACTCACTGCCATGGGAACAGTATGGGGGGAACCGCCCCTATGATTCAATTATCTCCCCCCCGGGTCCCTCCGACACGTGGGAATTATGGGAGCTACAATTCGAGATGAGATTTGGGTGGGGACACAGCCAAACCATATCAAAGGTGTGGTCTGGCTACTCTGGGCCCTTGTTCCCAACTCTCAAACTCCACTGACATCACTTTGGGGCCTGCGACCCCTCCTGGGATGCAGTGAAGACCTCATCCATTGTTGGAGTATCTGCGCTGCCCAGAGGGTGACGGTAAAAAACTGACCTTCGAGGAAGTTCAGAGACAACGACTTCCGCAGTCAGCTCTCCCTGCAGCCCCTTCTCAGAAGCCTGTTCTCAGGTGCCCCAGCACCCCTACCTGCTCACGAGGGGCCCTGCCTCCTGGCCCATGTCCCTGCAGGCAGACAGTCCTCATCCATTCTTCATCTTCTGCCCCCAACCCACGGCCTTCCTATCTCCCTTCAGCTCCGTCCAAGGTCCTTGGGACTCAGCCCCATCTCTACCCAGCCTTGAGCCCCAATAAGCTCGATGTCTTTGCCCAGGAGCTCCTGACACACCAGACTGCATCAAGCTTCCTGTTCTGTGCTTGGCCCGCCACCTTGGTCCACAGGAACCTTCATCTCTGCACTCACTGTGAGGATGGGCTCTCCGGAGGCTTCCCCATCCCACACCAGGCAGGTGGCTCTGGGAGTCCGGGATTGTCATACCTGGGCACCTTCCTGCTCCGGCCGAGTCCCTCCAGGATGGAAATCTCCCTGATTCCTCTCTGCCTCCCTTCTCCCCACCTGGCAAACAGTGGGTCCTAGGAAGGGGGCCAAATGGAAGGGAGGTCGTGTCGGCTCCCACAGGGCAGCCCCAAGCTGCCAGGCTGAGTTGCAGATCCATAGGTCCAGCCTGATCCGCGTGCCAGGAGCTGACTCCATGGCTGGAAGGGCTGGGGGTTCTCCAGGGGCCCAGACAACACCTAGAGTTGTCATGAGGAGTGCAAGTCCCTGAGGAGACAGAGGAAGGAGGCTGGGCAGAGCGGGCATGCAGACTTCCAACCGTGCTTGTGGGATAACAGTGGGCAGGGCTGTTGCAGAGGATGAGGCAGTGCCTGTGGGAGTCCAGAGAAGCCAGGCCCAGTGGCAGTGGCATGCAGCTGGCACTCCCTCCAGCCACCCTGCATGCAGCGTGACCCTCCTTGAAGCACCCCAGGAAGCAGAGTCACAGCCTCGTTCCGCCCAGCATCAAGGGCCTGGCCTCTGAATCTGGTGGGGAAGGCCGTGTTGCCTCCTGGCACCCGCTCCATCACCAGTCCCACCATAAGGCTAGTCCCCAGAGTCAGCACTGCAGCCAGGGCCAGCGAGGGCCAGCAAGGGCAGGCCTGTGCAGGGGCTGCAGTGTGGGGTGTGCGTCCCGCACGCTGGGCCAGCCTCGCAGCTCACAGGGCTCTGTCATCCCAGGAATGTCTTTGATCAAGAGTTTATGCAAGACGAGGAAAGCAAGCCCAGGACCTCTAATCCGTTCCCACAGTCCCCTGCCCGCTGGGGCCCCACAAGCCCAGCGCCACACCGCCAGGCCGGAGCAGACAATAGCCGGCGGACGGGTGGGCGGGCAGCTCCGGGGCCGCTGGCCTTGGGGCCCACATCCGGGAGCATTGTCACCGCCACTCACGGGGGCACACAAGGAGGACTGGGGAAGAGAGAATGCAGAGCCCTCTGCTGAAGGGGCTTCAGTGGGCCTTGAGCCTTTCAAAGACGGCGGTGTCCATTAATCCTTTTAATTTTCCCCTAGGCAGCTGAGACAAGCCTCTCAACCGGCAGCCACTTTAAGAGCCGAGTGGTCTAACCCGAGGATCAGCTCCTATTCCAGACCCCGGGCCCTCTGAGCCTGTTGGGGTAGTCCTCCTTGCCTTTGTTTAATCACGGGAGGAACCAAAGCTGGAGGTTACTGAACACGTACTGTGTGCCTTGTGCTCGATACTGAACACAGTTTCTCTCCAAGTCTTGCAACGACCCCATGGGTTGGTGACAGGGAGGGGACACTCTGGTGAGAGCCACAGACACAGCCCTGCCCTCTCAGAGCCTACACTCTCCTGCACACAATCATCCCATCTGCTAGGTCAGGGATTGGCAGGTTTTCCGGAAAGGGCCACAGAGAGGGGCTTCAGGCTTTGCGAGCCACAGGGTCTCTTGCCCTGTGCAAAAGCAGCTGCAGCCGCTCTGTGAATGAGTGAGCATGGTTGTGTGCCAATAAAGCTTTATTTACAAAAATAGGCAACAGACTGGATTCGGGCGAGGGTAGTAGTTTGCCGACCCGTTGCAAATGAGTAAACTGAGGCCCAGAGAGGTAAAGTAACTAAGCTAGGACCGCACAGCTAGTGTGTGACCAAGCCAGACGGGTCAGCCTCATGGAGAGGAAAGGGCTCAAGCTTCAAAAATGGAAATGCATGGAGCCTTCATTGGGCCATTTGCAGCCAGGCCCCATGCACACAGCTCAGGGCCCTGCTTCGCCAGCTCCACCTGTTTCAAGGCTCCCAGTCGGTCGCCCCTGTGGGCAGCACTGTGTCTTGGCTGCTGGCCTGGAGAAGGGCAGCCAAACAGGCCAGCGGTGGACATCTGAGGGCGATCAGCTGTTTAAAAAGAAAACTCGCCAGCATGTATAGACACACACATTAAGCACACACGTTTTGGAGTAAAAGGCCCTGGGGTTGGATCTCAGATCTGCAACATTCCAGCTGTGCGGCCTCATTTCTCTGGGCCTCAATGTTCACACCTGTAACATGGGGAAAGCCTGCAAGAACACAGCCCATGATGGGAAGTCGTCTCCATCTCCTACCCATGCCAATGACCAGCACAGAACAGGGGCTCCATAAATCTCTGTCCAATAACTGAACTCTGTCTGGGGTGCTGAGGATTCAATGGCTCAACGTGTATTATGCAGTGCTGAGCACCGACCTTGGGGCGCAGTGACCACTCAGGGAACGCCATCATCCCCTTGGAGCATCCGCATAGTCACCATCACCATTCCACGCACCACCCAGGTCTGGAAGCACAGGCCCCCATGCCACGGTGGCCACGGGTAGTGGCACCAAGGCTGATCTTAATTCCCTCCTTTGGCCCATTCAGTGGACAGTTCTGGGTTTTGTTGCCACCATGGATGCCCCCTCCTGGTGTTGATAGCACCCAGATGTTGCTCCAGGAGAACCACCATTCCCAGATCTGTGACTTGAATGGGACTGACCCCATCCCCAGCTCCAGGCCAGGCCCTGATAGGCTGAAATCCAACCGCACATCCATGCCCACCAGAAGAGCAGCAAGTTAATGGATGGGGGAGAAATCAAACAGAGTCACTGAGTCTTGAGAAGACATTTTCTGGGGCTTCTGAAAAAGAGAATGCTTTCCCCCCTTCCTCAGGATTCCCAGCAGGGGAACACGAGCCCAGGGGTGCACTGCCCCTCTGCAGCCCCAAGGGAAGACTAAGCTGCTCCCAGAGCCTCACTTACATCTTAAAAAAATCTACAAAGACCCTATTTCGTATTTCCAAATGAAGTTGCAGCTACCAGAGGCTAGGACTTCAATGTTCCTTTTTGTGAATACATTCAATTTGCAACAGACTTGGGCTCTCAAAGCCTGGAAGCAGACTCCACAGTCCCTTCGAATTTCAGAGGCACGTACTCACTGGAACCAGCAGAGGGACACCAATCCGTGAGCCTCCAGCTCAGCAAGCATCACATACTCTACACGTTCAGGTATCGCCCGAGATAGAGGCTTCCATCCCTGCAACCCAAGGCCCAGCTGCTCTGGTAAAGGGTGCCAGGGAGGAGACACAGCCAAGGCGCTATCCTGATGGGGGTCACCAAGGGCCAGACGCCAAGGCCGCGATGCCACCTGAGTTTACCAGCCAGGGAGAGTTATGAACAAGTGCATGAGCAATGAGCGACTTTCCTTCTTGGAAGTTAATCTGAGAGATCCCAGCTGAACCCCTTAGTCACGCTGGCTTGGACAACTCGCTGAACCCTTGAGGCCTGGCTCCTCGCCTGCAGGCCCCGTGTCCTGTGAAGCACCAAACACAGTGACCCATTTTTCTCAGATCATAAGAACTCTGTGACTTCAGTTTACTGAGTCACAAACCAGTTCCTCATTTGATTCATTAAGGATCAGGATAACTGTGGGAATTAGGATAAACTTGCATGTTAATTACCCTTTGTGGTATCTCCAGATTACACTGGTGTTTTCAAGTGGAGTGGGAGAGACTTCCCTGCGGCGTTGTGAGGCCAGATGAATGCTCGCAAAGCTCAGTATGAAGGTCATCTCCTCCTGTGTCCACCCTCTCATTCCCTCCTCTCCCCTGAGCTCCCAAAGTGCCACGGGCATCCCTAGGTGAGACCTGCTCACAGGGTCTGGGGCAGCTAAGGACCCACCCAGGCACTGCCTCTCCTACAGGCAGCCGGCATGAGTCGTTTTCCATAAATCCATCTGCTTTTGCCTCAATCTGGCCTCAATCTGCTAGATCGGGGTCCCCCATCCTCAGGCCGTGGACCAGCACCAGTCCATGACCCGTTAGGTACCGGGCCGCACAGCAGGAGATGAGCAGCAGACGAGAGAACTACTGCCTGAGCTCCACCTCCTGTTAGATCAGCAGAGGCGTCAGATTCTCATAGGAGCGGGAACCCTATTGTGAACTGTGCACGTGAGGGATCTAAGGGGCATGCTCCTTATGAGAATCTAATGCCTGACGATCTGAGGTGGAACAGTTTCATCCCCAAGCCATCCCCACCCCCAAGCCCTGGCCATGGAAAAACTGTCTTCCACAAAACCAGTCCCTGGTGTCAAAAAGGCTGGGGACTGCTGTGCCAGATGCAAGACTGGTCCTGAAGGCAGACTGCAAATTCTCAGAAAGCAATGGCCTCAGGAAGCGAATCATTCAGGCAACCTGCTCAAGCCCTGCTGTGCCCCGTCAAGCCTGAAGTTGGCCACTTACTGTGACCACTGGACTTGTCCTCAGTATCTCTGCAAAGCGAGGGTGGCAGCCCTGCCTCCAGCACTGGTGGATAATCCCAGTAAAAGGCGGGCCAGCAGCAGCCACCGGGCAAATAGGCCTCTCGTCCCTTCTTCCGTATCTCCTCATTCTTTTCTTGCCACTGGTTAGAGAAAAAATGTCAAGGGGTGAATGTAAAATAAAGTGAAAGGTGGTCGTGTTTTAGGCCCGATGAGTGGCCCTTGGGCAGTTCCCTGTGGCCGTCCAGTGACTCTGACAGGTGATTCCAAAGTGGAGAGTTCAGTGGAGGACTGACTACTCTTGCTTGTGCCTAGCTGTTAACATTCTAGAAAAACTAACTGAAGTAACTTCAACTTTTACATGAAATGGCTTTATTTCCTCCCCAGTCCCAATTCAACAGTCTATCCAGCAGCCACAGCTGGGTCCTGTTAGGGACTAAACTGTGTCCCCACAAAACTCACGTGGAAGCCTTAACCCCCAGTGCCTCAGAATGTGACTGTGTGAAGAGTGAGGTCTTTAACAGGTAACTAAGTTCAGATGAGGCTGTAAGGGTGGGCCCGAATGCAATCTGACTGGGGTCAGTGCCTCAGAATGTGCCTCAGAATGTGACTGTGTGAAGAGTGAGGTCTTTAACAGGTAACTAAGTTCAGATGAGGCTGGAAGGGTGGGCCCCAATGCAATCTGACTGGGGTCAGTGCCTCAGAATGTGACTGTGTGAAGAGTGAGGTCTTTAACAGGTAACTAAGTTCAGATGAGGCTAGAAGGGTGGGCCCCAATGCAATCTGACTGGGGTCCTTATAAGAGATGAGGACACACACAGAGGAACGACCACGTGAGGACACGGGGGGAAGAAAGTTGTCTGCAAGGCAAGGAGAGAGGCCTCAGGAGGGAGCAGCCCTGTGGCGCCTTGATCTCGGACTCCAGCCTCCAGAACGAAGGGAAGGTGGACCGCTGCTGAAGTCACCCATCAGGGGTGCCGTGGTGGCAGCCCGAGCTGAGACGGTGGCAGACAACACGCTGGGAGCTTCTGACAGGAAGGAACGGGCAGGCCAAAGCCTTGGAAAACCGACCGCAAGGGATGCAATCCAACCCCAGGAGCTCCCAAACTCAAGGCCACTCTGGACAAAGGCTGACATCCAGGATTAGCGGGACGGGATGGGCCTGATGGGGATGGGGAAGGCAACAAGCAGACTTTGTCTGCAAACAACAGAAACCCAGGGCCACGGCCTTCCATGACTGGGATGGGTAGCGCTTACAGGTGCGAGCAAGGTGGCTCAGGGCTGCTGGGAACAGCACGTGGTGGTATCGAGGACGCAGGTTCTTCCTAGCTCTTCGCTCTGCCAGGCTCGGGGTGGCTTCAGCTGTAGCCAGCTTGCAAGATGACTGGAGCAGTTCTAGCTGTCACATCCCAACAGGATGATGTTCAAAATAGCACCAGCACCTTTTCTTTGGAATGACGTAACCTTTCCCAGAAGCCCCCGCAGGACCTTCTGCCAACTCATCTCCTTAACCCAGCACAGAAACACAGTCATTCTAAGAGTGGGCCCACTGTGCTGGGGACTGGTCGACCCTCTACTAACACCTCATTAGCAGAAGAGAAGACACAGACATGCTCATTCCCAGGGTAAAGGCTGAGGATGGCACTGCCTGGATAGGATGGAACCACCTGTTACAGTGGGCTCTGTCTGTACCACAATGTCGGGGGTGACCAAGGGATCCTGGAAACTGGGTCTCGTTCTCTAGAAAGGGGCCAGGCAGGCACAGGCCAGCAGAGTGTGTGAGAATCTTGAAGATGAGGAGGCAGTCCTGGCTCCCTGTGAGGCAAACCAGAGGAGGAAGTGGCAGTCTGCTGCTCAGCCAGCTGTGTCGAAGAGGCAGAGAGGGAGTAGGGAGAGAGAACAGGAGACAGAGATGGGAGAAGAAAAAAAAGAAAGAGGAGGGGAGAGAAGGTTGGGGACAGCGGGGATAGAGATGTCTTGGAGAGAGGGGATGAGTAATAGCTGGGCCAGGTGAGCAGGAGCTGACCAGTCCCTAACACAACGGAACCACTCTCGCAGCGGCTGTGTCTACGCTGGGTTAAGGAGACGAGCCGGCAGAAATCTAGGGCACGTGTCTTCCTCCATATCCAGATCCGAAATGCCCTGGAGGAAGAAACAAACTGGCTGGACGCTGTGTTATAAATGATGCTGTGTCATGCGTGACACTGTGTTATAAATGACACTGTGTTACAGGTGATGCTGTGTTATAAGCGATGCTGTGTTATAAGCGATGCTGTGTTATAAGCGATGCTGTGTTATGAATGATGTTGTGTTATAAACGGTCCCAGACAAACTTTCACTTTAAAATATGCTATTTACTTTTTTTCCAATTATAAAAATAATACATTATCAAAATAGACAACTTACAAAACACAAAAATCCACCAAGGGAAACACCACGAAGGCCCCTGATCCCACCATCTAGAAAGAATGGAAATCTTTCTGCCCGAAGGCACCAGCTCTGATGAAGGCACAATGGGGCGATGCCCAACGCAGACTTCCCCAGACCTGAGGTGAGGCCACAAATGAGGGGTGCACAGCCACACACGCAGGTTTACAGTTCAGAAGGAGGAGACCTAAGTCTTGTCTTCAAAAAGAAAAAGCAGGCTGGGAGTGGAGGCTCATGCCTGCAATTCCAGCACTTCGGTAGGTGGAGGTGGGTGGATCATTTCAGGCTAGGAGTTCAAGACCAGCCTGGCCAACATGGCAAAACCCCATCTCTACTAAAAATACAAAAGTTACTTGGGCGTGGTGGTGGGCGCCTGTAATCCCAGCTACTAGGGAGGCTGAGGCAGGAGAATTGCTTAAATTCAGGAGGTGGAGGTTACAGTGAGCCGAGATCACGCCACTACATCCCAGCCTGGGTGAAAGAGTGAGACTCCGTCTCAAACGAAAAACAAACAAAAACAAAGCAGCTCTCTCTCAACTCCCGAGCCGCCGTGGAGGTCCCCCTGCCGCCGTGGAGGTTCCCCTGCCGCCGTGGAGGTCCCCCTGCCGCCGTGGAGGTCCGCCCGCCGCTGCTCCTGCGGGAGTCACTGCTCTGGCTCTTGCCGCCAGCAGCTTAGGCAGCACAGCACAATCCACTAGGACATTCGGGAATGGTTTTAAAACCAAAGTGGATTCATGGTGACTCCTTAATAATCCCGTGGACTGCTTTCAGACATGCCTTCTGGAACAGGAGGGGTGGGGAGAGCCAGCGTGTGGGGACTTCGGTGACCCTGAGGTGCACATAGGAGGGTGCGTGAACACATGCCATCGCATATGACCACTCACCTCGTGGGGGCCCACCGAACCATCCACTCCACTCATCTGTGCCCAGCCCGCTGTCTCTGTATGACACCTCGTTAAGGACCGACAGAGACCAAAGAGCGCCTAGGAGAGGGGAGAATGTAGGAGCCTGTACACACGGTTCTCAGTTTCTGCAAATATAACGGCGGCCTAACATTTGGTCTTTGGTTCAAAATATTTCCCCCCTTCACCATTTTTTAATGCTGCAGAGCTCATTGCCCCTCTGGGGACAGTGTGAACGATATGTCCGGGTCCCCTCAGGATCGGGCTGGCCTTTCTTCCTCTCAGCCAGATGGCCAGGCAAACTGGCCACCATGGACTCCTCCGTGCTCCGCGAGGCTCAGCAGGGCCCATGCGGCCTGGGAGGGAGGGCAGGGACTCTCAGTGCTGAGGTGCCAGCCTGTGCATTCCAGAGGCGGCTGCGGCTGGTGGCGGTGAGGCACGGCCTGGGGGCGGAAGTCCTAGCTCTGCTGCTGGGTGCCCTCAGACCAGGCAACCCCTTCTTGTCTCACCTTCTTCCTCTGTAAAATGGGAATAACACCCACCCCGTGGGCTCCTGAAGGGATTAAATAAAACACGAGACACACGTCCCGCAGGGCCTGGTGCACAATCGGCTTCGACATGAGGCACAGCACCCGCCCAGACCTCCCACGAGCCTCGCTGAGGGCCAACTGTCTCTCTCATTGCAAAAAAAAATGTAAAAACCTGCCTCGAGTCCAGGCCTGGGGACTGACCCTATCCAGAGTCAACCCCAGGCCAGAGCCAGCCAGGCCTGTGCTGCCGAAGAGGCCGTCAGGCCAATGCACGTGGGCCCAGCAGGGAGCAGCCGCGCGAGGGCTCTGCCAGGGATGGCTTCAGCCCAACAAAGGGCATTGTGAAGAGGCCCCACGGCGGGCACCGAGATGACACAGGCAAAAAACCCCGGGGAAGGAGGCCCTCCCGCGGCCGAACCGGAAGCCTCACCCTCCCACTGAACGATGGCCTTCCCAGCACCGTCTGGCCCTTCGCCGCATTTCTAAACATGTCACACACACATCTGTTCCTCGATGTTCGGTCTCTGTTCATCCATCGTTCTCAAAATGAAAGTCCGGAACCTTCTGCACTAATTTTAAAGTCTGGCTGAACGTTGAGTAATGAACAAAACTGAAAACACAAAAGAAAAGGGATGGTATTTTTAATTTGTGTATTTTTACTGAAAAATGAGAAGATAACTCTAACTATAGCTTTTCCTGTCTACGTGGCCAGCCCATAAGTGAGTTCTAACTCCTATTCTCTGGACCATCTTCAGTTTTCCTGCACTGTGACTCAAGGATGAGACGCCTCTACGGACAGTTCCACGGCACACGCAGCCCCAGGCCATCGCCGCCGTGGCCCCTGGAGTGCGCCGCCCCGCCTGGGAAAGGCACAGTCAGGCGCTCCCAGCAGGAGGAAACACACAGTGCACGCACCTGTTTAAATTTTCCCCTGATTTTGTCTAAGTCTTCATGGAGTTTATCGTAAGTAGGGTCATCATAAGGGAATTTCTGGATCATTCCAATCAATGATTCTAAGACCTTCATCTTTCGGCTGTAAAGCACAGAAATACAGACTCTCAGTCATGTGCACACACCAGGTTCAACTTACGCAACAGCTATGCTGCTTGCTTACTGAAACCCAGCAGGTGCGCTAAGAATGCCTTCGTTCAAAAGCTGGATGATCATTTTCTCATTACACGAAATCGTATTTATTTACCTAGCAACATGCTTAGGCCCACACCCAGCACCTCGACAGCAACTGTGTGCCTAGCTTAGACATGCCTCCATCCGGACCGTGGGGCTGAGTGGCTGAGGCGGCCTGAAGCCCACTGACTCTCGAGGTCACACACACAAAAACAGACAGAACTGGGCAAGAGGGACTGGGGCTGGGCACAAGCAGCCTGCTCTGGGTCTGGGGATTTTCCAGGATTTGGAATCTTTGTGCTCAAAGCCTTCTGGAGTTCAGCTGCAAGTAAACCAGCAAACCCCTCCCTCAAAAGAGTGGAAATCAGTACTGTCCACGCCCCAGGGAGGACAGAGCTTTGCTAGGGAGGCAAGGAGGTTCTGCAGAAAGGACGTGCACTCAGGAGACAGCAGCCCTGGGCATGACTGCTCCCCAACACCTACCTACCCGCTCTCAACCCTGCTGGCCTCGTCCGTAAAATGGGGGGGCATCCCAGCCTCCAGATGGTGAGAAATTCATTTCTGTTGTTTATCTTTTTTAAAATGGGGAGAGTAACAGCAACCTCATAGACTTCCAAGAGGATTAAATAACTGACATGGGCTGGGCCTGGTGGCTCACACCTGGAATCCCAGCACTTTGGGAGGCCAAGGCGGGTGGATCACCTGAGGTCAGGAGTTCAAGACCAGCCTGACCAATATGGTGAAACCCCGTCTCCACTAAAAATACAAAAATTAGCTGGGTGTGATGGTGTGCGCCTGTAGTCCCAGCTACTCGGGAAGCTGAGACAGGAGAATTTCTGGAACCCGGGAGGTGGAGGTTGCAGTGAGCTGAGATTACGCCACTGTACTCCAGCCTAGGGGACAGAGCAAGACTCCATCTCAAAAAAAAAAAAAAAAAAAGACTTGAAGCTTGGACTCCAGCACAGAGTAGGTGCTCAATAAATGTTAGTCTCTTGGTTTCCTCTGGATCCTAGAGAACAGGGCTCTCACCTGCAGGGGTTTAAAAATAATCCACACATGTGTACCTCTAGTGGGGCCAGGTCCTTCCAATGAACCACAGAAGCACGCTGCCCCTATGCCACATTGGACCATGTGAGTGGCCAGAGTAGGCAAGATTCTCAATTAACAGGAATTTTAAAGAACTGACGGTGAGGATGGATTGACAGCAATTCAAAGCAACCAAGACTCCTGTGTGCATGCAAACAGCTGGTGCTCCTGGACACACAGAAGAGCAAGTTCGCCAGCTGCATCCAGTTTACAAGAGCTAACGACGGCTACCTCTCGGAGAAAATACAAAACTGTGAAAGGTCAAAGCAAGTCAGTTTTAGCAACAAAGCACCTGGTTTCCAGGGAAACCAAAGGGAGATGCCAAAACGTGGGAGGTGGCTGTATGCGACCCAATGCAGAGGACCATCCTCTGCATGGGTGCTCAGCGATGCTGCTCAGACACACCCAGGCGGGCGCACCGTCAGAGGCAGCACACATCAGGCAGGTGTGAGCAGCTCAGGGCTAACGAAACAAAAGTGATGGTACCAGAGCCCCCACGCTCAGCCCCGGCACGCGCTGCTCTGCAGAAGGGTTTCACCAGACTGCTAAAGCCGGGGACAGAAGTGCCACGCAGTTTACTGGAAAGCTAGTTACTCAACAGAAAGCACCATCTTTTGGCCCAAGATGCCGCTCTCCATGGTTTCTTTGGTGTTACAATGCCCAGCATTTTGCTGAATGACAATGCAGGTGGCAGGTGTTTTTCTCTTAACATCCTTATTCGGAAAAATTTACAGGTAAAACATGCAACATCAGCCCTTCTTCATTAAAAAAAAAATAAACAAAACCTGACATGTAAGATCCAAATATCCGCGAACCACTGCTCTACAATAAAGCCTTAGGTTCCAAAGAGACCTCTGCGTACTACTGGACGGGGTGAGGGTGGCTGCGAGGGGGGTCTGGCCGGGCTTCCACCAGCCCCTTGTCAACCAAAGCGGTTCTTCTCTGTTAGTTAGACTGGGTGTGCTGCGTTAAGACGTCAGCAAACCCCTGCTCTGGGGTAAGGGCTGGCAGCCTCCTGGGATGGGACCACGGACACACAGCGGAGCACTTCTCCGGGAGCCGGCAGATTCTGCCGCGGTGGGAGATGGGAGACGGGTGGAGAACACCAAGCACACACATCCTTTTGTGGCCTGGAGTCGAGAGCCAAGCTCAGCTTTGACTGCCACCCAGTGGCGGCACGGGCTGCCAACAACGACTTCCCTGGGGTCCCCAGCTGCCCGCCACCACCTGAGAACCAAGAGGAAAATGTCCTCAGGTGCCTCTCTACTAACCCAGAATCCCATCAACTCCCAGCCGCTGCTACAAATGCAGCAGAAAGAACCACCGAATCAGCTGCAAGCATCCTCATTCTTAAACATTTGAATATTCAAGATATTCAAGGTATTTCTAGAAATTCAAGATATTTCAAATAAAAGCACAAGGCACGTGGTCAGGGCGAGTGTTATCCACTCTCCCTGTGCCCCCCATGCTAGGCGAGGCCGCGAGGTGTCAGAACGACCCAGAGCACCAGCTGAGGTCCCACGCTTGCTGCCCGCCCATGAACGGCAGAGTATCCAAACCATCTCTGCCGTTTACTTGAGGGTTCATTTCCAGCTCCAGAATGAAGCTAGATAAAGCAGGGCCACGTGGGGCCTCAGTAAGTACAATGCAGGAAGAAGAGTTTTTGTTTGTTTTTGAGAAGGAGTCTCGCTCTGTCACCCAGGCTGGAGTACAGTGGCGTGATCTTGGCTTACTGCAACCTCTGCCTCCCGGGTTCAAGCAATTCTTCAGCCTCAGCCTCCCGAGTAGCTGGGACTACAGGCACACAGTACCACACCTGGCTAATTTTTGTATTTTTAGTAGAGACAGGGCTTCACTATACTGGCCAGGCCAGTCTCGAACTCCTGATCTGTTGATCTGCCCACCTTGGCCTCCCAAAGTGCTGGGATCATAAGCGTAAGCCACTGCACCCGGCCGAGAAGAGTTTTTAACAGCTAAAAACAATTGAAATGACAGCTAACACTTATTGACTGTTGACAAGTTCCAGAAAGGAGTTAAACACATATAAACACATTTTCTTGTTAACAGACTTAGTTGGCTACATTAAAAAACTGATGACAATGGCATCCTCATTTCTGGGCCCAAGTCATACAAAACTGTTATAATTTGTTTATTAGAAGCTCAGGGGAAAGGTGAATGAGAAAATACAATCAATGTCAACATTATTTTATTGGTAGGGTATCTAAAAGCCACGTGGTTCCCTAACGACTCCAGGTAAAAGGCAGGAGCATAGAACTCGTGAGAAGCAACAACAGCCAGTGTTCATCAAACACCTAAAATGTGCCTGGCGCTTTCTGTTTAGTATTTTCGTTAAATCTCCTAACAACGCTCAAGCTTGACACTGATTATTTTCTCCATTTTACAGATGAGGAACAGACAGATTGATTATTCAAGGGCATGTCGGTAACCCATGGAACTAGAACTCCTGGTTCCTACACTAAGAAAGAAAGACACCTCCATCTTTACCTGTCCTTCTCAGTGGTGCAACTGTGCAGTAGACATTTCCACGCAAAAGCAAAACCCTGGTAGCACCCGATCTGTGAATGTGAAAAATATTTAAGAGTGAAATTAATAAGCCAACTAGCTACACTTTCATTACCAAGATCTCTCAAAACAAAAGGTGGGGGCAAAGGGCAGCGGTGCTTCTTACACTATTGTTCTGGAAGTACCCGTTGGGCATTAGGCAATGGAAATTAGGAGATTAGGTCATCAGTGGGGCAGCCAGCCTCCCAGATGCCCCAGTCCTCATCTCCTGGTACCCATGCCCTATGCAGGTCCCTCGACACTCCATCAGGGTGGCTTTCGTAACCAACAGAATGTGGAGGACCAGCGCAAAGCTCCTGAGTCTAGGGATAAAAGCCAATGCCACCTGCCTCACCAGCTCTCTTGGACCACTCACTCTTGAATGTCACAAGGACACACAAGCAGCCTCATGGAGACGTCCATGCCCACAGTCAGGTGACAGCACCACCTTGGAGGCAGATCCTCCAACCCCAGTCAAGCCGTCAGGTGACATGGCTCCAGCTGACACCCTGAGCCAGGACCACCCAGCAAAGCTGCTCCTGAGTTCCCAACCCTCAGAAACATGAGAGACCATCAATATTTGCTGTGTTAATCCCCATGCATTTTGTGGTGATCTGTTTCGAAGCATCAAACATCCAATATAGTCATAACTGCCTCAACTCAGACTTTGCCACTAAGGGCCACTTATCTGTAAGTAAGGGTCAATCTAGGACAAAGGGCAAGAGGAGAAAAAAAACCCATAAAGTTAATGAAATTTCAATGTAAACATAAATGTAATATTTTCACATGACAGAGGGCACCCATGCTTTGGACAATGATTCAGCTGGCTTAGTACATGAGCCAGCACCACGACACTCCAAAATAAACTGAGGAGACCAGGGACTTGTTTTATCTTATCCAGCCTGCATAACTTAATTATACGTACCCACAGCAAAACGCGCTCTCGGTTCTGTACTAAGAGTATTTCTCCAGCAACAGTCCATCTAGTCCATTAACTCCCACACAAAGGCGCTGTGATTTTTGTTTGTTTGTTTTTTGGAGACGGAGTTTCACTCTTCTTGCCCAGGCTGCAGTGCAATGGTGCGAATCCTGGCTCACTGCAACCTCCGCCTCCCGGGTTCAAGCAAGTCTCATACCTCAGCCTCCCAAGTGGCTGGGATTACAGGCATGCGCTACCATGCCCAGCTAATTCTGTATTTTTAGTAGAGACGGGGTTTCACCATGTTGGTCAGGCTGGTCTCCAACTCCTGACCTCAAGGTGATCCGCCCACCTCAGTCTCCCAAAGTGCTGGGATTACAGGTGTGAGTCACTGCACTCATCCAGCACTGTGACTTTTTTTTTTTTTTTTTTTTTTTTTGGAGACGAAGTCTCGCTCTGTCACCCAGGCTGGACGGCAGTGGCGCAATCTCGGCTCACTGCAAGCTCCGCCTCCCGGGTTCATGCCATTCTCCTGCCTCAGCATCCGGAGTAGCTGGGTCTACAGGCGCCTGCCGCCACGCCAAGGCACTGTTGATTTTAAAAGGCCTGACATTCTTACTCCATCACACTGAATATCCAAATAAATTATAAACTGTAAATGAAGAGGTTTCATCTCCAGATGGGGGTTCCCACTTACCTCAGACCCAATTTTGGCTCCATGCAGCGTGCCATGTTGCCTTCCTTCCATCACACCCAAACTACTGCCTTCTTCGTAGCCTTCCCGATACCCTTCCCCATGAAACCTGTGAAGAAGAAACATGCTTCATCAAATCAACAGAAGAAAGAATACTTTTTCCAGAAAAATTTTTCTCTCTTATATTACCCGGACCCAGTAAGACAAGCCAGAGTAAGAAGGAAAAGCCTAAAATTCAAGTTAGAAGACACAGATTCCAGTCCCAGATATATCACTTCCTAGTCTCCTCTGGAAGTCACTGTATCTCCTGTAGCCCAGTTTCTTCATCTACAACAAAGGGCTAAATCAGTGATTCCCAAACCTGATAAGAGTACTGGAGACACACAAGGAAAATTCAAAGATATTAACTCAAAAGCCTCACCCCCAGAGATTCGGTAAGTCTGGAGTAAGGAGGCCCTGGAATCTATTTTTCTTTCTTCCTTCTTTTTTTTTTTTTTTTTTTTTTTTTTTGGAGACAGGGTTTCTGTTGCCCTGCCTGGAGTACAGTAGTATGATCACAGCTCACTATAGCCTCAAACTCCTGGGGTCAAGCGATCCTCCAGCTTTGGCCTCTCAAAGTCTTGGGATTACAAGTGTGAGCCACCACACCTGGCCCAGAATCTACTTTTTTTTTTTTTTTTTTTTTGAGATGGAGTCTTGCTCTGTGGCCCAGGCTGTAGTGCAGTGGTGCAATCTAGGCTCACTGCAAGCTCCGCCTCCCAGGTTCACGCTCTCCTGCCTCAGCCTCCGAAGTAACTGGGACTACAGGCACCTGCCACCACACCCGGCTAATTTTTTGTATTTTTAGTAGAGACGGGGTTTCACCATGTTAGCCTCGATCTCCTGACCTCATGATCCGCCTGCCTCAGCCTCCCAAACTGCTGGGATTACAGGCGTGAGCCACCGCGCCCGGACTTTTTTTTTTTTTATTTGAGACGGAGTCTCGCTCTGCAGCCCAGGCTGGAGTGCAGTGGCCGGATCTCAGCTCACTACAAGCTCCGCCTCCCGGCTAGTTTTTTTTTTTTGTATTTTTAGTAGAGACGGGGTTTCACCATGTTAGCCAGGATGGTCTCGATCTCTTGACCTTGTGATCCGCCCGTCTCGGCCTCCCAAAGTGCTGGGATTACAGGCTTGAGCCACCGCGCCCGGCCTTTTTTTTTTTTTTTTTTTTGAGACGGAGTTTCGCTCTTGCTGCCCAGGCTGGAGTGCAATGGTATGATCTCAGCTCATGGCAACCTTCACCTCCCAGGTTCAAACAATTCTCCTGCCTCAGCCTCTCGAGTAGCTGGGATTACAGTGCAGGCATGCGCCACCATGCCCGGCTAATTTTGTATTTTTAGTAGAGACGGGGTTTCTCCATGTTGGTCAGGCTAGTCTCGAACTCCCGACCTCAGGTGATCTGCCCACCTCAGCATCCCAAAGTGCTGGGATTACAGGCGTGAGCCACCGCACCTGGCCCGGAGTCTACTTTTCGAAGTCTCCTAGGTAAGTCTGGTTTGCAGCCAGAGTTAGGGGGCCAAAGTTCTTTGAGTGTTCAAGTAGCACTAGCCCAAGTCAATTGCTTCCAAAAAACTGCAACATACACAGGGTTTGACATCACATTGGTAGGACAACAGAGAGAAATGGCATCAGATCACCACAAAATGTACTCCCACTGGTACCTGGAGTAGCACCGACCCTGAGGCCCAACAGTGGAACTGGCACTATCTTAACCTGCAGTCACCAAAGATGCAAGGAGTGGGCTGCAGCACTGCATGAAGCAGACTGCATAGCTCCCCACTTATCAGTTATGTGACCCTGGAAAGTGACTGTGTCCCCTAGTCTGTAAATTCCGAAGACTAATTGGATCCACTTACTAAGTAGGGCTGAAGTAGATAACCAGGATGGAACGTTTAGCTCAGCATCTGACTCACAGCGAGAGCTAAATAAACGTCAGCAACTGACTGCTAAATGTTCGGTCGCTTTCTTAACTAACATCTACGGACGTGTCCTGTGGACCGGGCACTGGAAGTCAGCCAGGAGGCAACTCACAGTTCCCCCACTGTCGCAGCACGAGGGGCTCCCCAGGGGCTCTGGAGGGAAAGGGGTGTGGTCGGGCACATCTATCAGCACATCCATGAATACTGCCGTATGTCCTATGGTTAAGGAACCAGAAAAAGAGGCAGCTCCCAGATGGCAAAGTCTGTCCTCCCAGAGGACGGGGGGGCCTCGGAGGAGGGGAACCACCAGGCTGAGCAGATGCTTGGGGCAGTCCTGACAGGGAAGGCGGGTCTGGAAGAGCAGCTGGGCACGTGCCCCGCCGGAGAGGGCGAGGAGAGAAGGACCAGAGCCTCAGGCCCACACTTGTCCTGCGTCCACGGCCACCAGGCGCTCCCCAATGCGCACGCCCAAGGGACGCCAGGCTCCAGCAGCCGCCCTGGGCCTCAGCCGGCGAGGAATCTGCTGGGAGAGGACCAGACAGGGCGGGGTACGGGCCTGGCCTCGCCACCCACCTCTCATCCGCCATCACGATGGAATCGAATATATCCTGAGTGCCAGCCATAGCGGCAAGCAGCGCGCCCTTGGCCCCCGGGATTCTGCAGCACTGCGATGCCGTCGCAGTCCCGGGAGGTTCAGGCACAAATGCTCCGCTTGGGAGGAGACAAGATCCACTTCCGGAAGCGGCAGCGCGGGGCAGGCCGGGTAAGAACGGCACGCGGGAGGGTCCAAAGCGGCCGGCACATGGCGCATGCGCGGCTGCGGCGGTGGGCGGGGCTGGGCTCGAATGAAGCCCCGCCCTGGGGTCCCTCCGCCCTGCCCCGCTCCGGCAATGGGCCTGTCTGTCAGCGCTGGGAGCGTCCATTGGCCGCGTGCGGGGAGACCCGACCTGTATTTTACCACCGCAGATGGAACCGAATTTCCCAAAGTGACTCCGAAAGAACCAAGGAAGAAATGGAGAGTCATCAGCTGGGCGCGGTAGCTCACGCCTGTAATCCCAGAACTTTGGGAGGCCGAGGTGGGCGGATCACCTGAGGTCGGGAGTTCCAGACCAGCCTGGCCAACATGGTGAAACCTCGTCTTTACTAAAAATACAAAAATTAGCTGTGCATGGTGGGCGGCGCCTGTAATTCCAGCTACTCGGGAGGCTGAGGCAGGAGAATCGCTTGAACCCGGGAGGCGGAGGTTGCAGTGAGCCGAGATCGCGCCACTGCACTGCAGCCTGGCGACAGAGCGAGACAACGTCAAAAAAAAAAAAAAGGAAAAGAAATAGGAAGTCATCAAAGAACCGACGCCTCAAGAGGCTCCGGGCCAGGAGGCTCTGCATGTGGGATTTTGGGGGGAAATTTGTCGGTTTTAATTCTCATATTTGTCATTTCCATGAGATGTGCTGTCTGAACACGATTTTTAAAAAGCGATTTCAAACTCCAAGCGACCACGGAACTCAGATGAGAAACACCAAAAGCATTCCTAATAAAGTCAGTAGTAAAACCTCACGTGACCACTGAACATCTTTCTGTCAGCCCTGGCCAATGCAGTAAAACATGAAGCAAGAAGTGCAAATACCAAAAAAAAAAAAAGGCAGAAATACTACTATTTGCAGATGTGATGGCCCACCTAGAAAACCCAAATAGTTACCTAAGACATTCTTAGAATCCATAATCGCAGCAAGTAGCTATGTGTATGATGAATAGGGAAAAAATCAGTTTCTGTTATTCCAACAAAAATTGGTAGTAACCTGAGCAGGGATGGTGATGGGAAAATCGTCTTATGATAGTCATAATATATTTCTTAGAAATAGGAATTTCTAACAATTTGAGCAGGACCCATATAAAGAAAACTACAGCTCTACTGTGACTGAGGATTGGAAAACTGGACAAGTGCAATACCAAAGAAAATTCCATGAGATCTGGTAAAATGTGTCAAAATCCTAAACTTTTTCATCCGTATGAATAAACTAATAAAAACAACTGAGATTTTTTTTAAAAAAAGAATGATTTTCACATGAGATATGAAAAGATAAAGTGACAATACAAATATTGTGGTATGTTGCTTCAAGAAGAGACAGACCAATGAAATAAAGTGAATGGCCCAGACAATGGACTCTCATAGATGTAAAGCCTTCTCATGTGATAAAAAGAAGAATCACAAATTAATCGGGGAAAGGGAGTATTAATTAATAACTATAATGGAAAATTGGTTGTTTGGGAAAACCTTGGTTCCATTTATGCCTCACACCATTCATCAAAATAATTCCAGATGAATTAAAGAGTTAACTTAAAAAAATGAAGCACATTGGCGGGGCATGGTGGCTCACGCCTGTAATCCCAGCACTTTGTGAGGCCGAGGTAGGCGGATCACCAGGGGTAGGGAGTTCGAGTCCAGCATGACCAACATGGAGAAACCCCGTCTCTACTAAAAATACAAAATTAGCTGGGCGTGGTGGCACATGACTGTAGTCCCAGCTACTCAGGAGGCTGAGGCAGGAGAACCCGGGAGACAGAGGTTGCAGTGAGCAGAGATCGCTCCAGTGCACCCCAGCCTAGGGAACAAGAGTGAAACACTGTCTCTAAATAAATAAATAAATGAATAAATAAATAAATAAATAAAGCACATTGTGCCTGTAATCCCAGCACTTTGGGAAGCCGAGGTGGGCAGATCACAAGGTCATGAGATTGAGACTATCCTGGCTGACATGGTGAAACCCCATCTCTACTAAAAAATACAAAAAAAAAAAAAAAAAAAAATTAGCCTTCCGTGGTGATGCATGCCTGTAGTCCCAGTTACTGGGGAGGCTGGGGCAGGAGAATGGCGTGAACCCGGGAGGTGGGGCTTACAGTGAGCTGAGATCGCGCTACTGCACTCCAGCCTGGGCAACAGAGCGAGACTCCGTCTCTAAATAAATAAATAAATAATAAAGTACATTAAAAAAATCTAGGTGGAACATTCAGACGAGTATGAAGATGCTTTTTTAACATGTAAAAGTCATGAAGGAATTCTCCGCAAGCAAAACCAACATTTTACTATGTGAAAATGCAAACTTGTGTGTACCAAAAGTGATAATAAACACAATTTAAAGTTAAAGAACAATATGGGGAAATATTTGTCATAAATATTGTAACTAAAGAAATAATATTTCTGGTAAAGAGTTTATTTAGATGGATAAGAAATAAATACATCCTAATGGGGGAAAAAAAAAGACTTGAAACATTCTTCACAGAAAGAACAACAGCTGGCTTATCAGGAAAAGCAGACGCAGCCTTACTAGTAACCAAAACAATGCTCAGAAAGAATAATGAGATGCATTTTTTTACCTTTTAAAATAGTTTAAGTTTGCCGGGCGCGGTGGCTCAAGCCTGTAATCCCAGCACTTTTGGAGGCCGAGATGGGCAGATCACAAGGTCAGGAGATCGAGGCCATCCTGGCTAACACGGTGAAATCCCGTCTCTACTAAAAAATACAAAAAACTAGCCGGGCGAGGTGGCGGGCGCCTGTAGTCCCAGCTACTCGGGAGGCTGAGGCAGGAGAATGGCGTGAACCCGGGAGGCGGAGCTTGCAGTGAGCTGAGATCCGGCCACTGCACTCCAGCCTGGGCAACAGAGCGAGACTCGTTTCAAAAAAAAAATAGTTTAAGTTCTTTTTCTCTTTTTTTAGAATTAAAAGATACTTTTATTGAGCACAAGTGCATAAATTTAAGACACTTCTTGGTCAGGCAGTTCAAAAACATAGGAAGGGCATTTATATATATATATGGTTTTTTTGTTGTTGTTGTTTGTTTTTACTAGCTGGGTGTGGTGGGTCACTCCTGTAATCCTAACACTTTGGGAAGTCAAAGCAGATGGATCACCTGAGGTCACGAGTTGCAGATCAGCCTGGCCAAACAGTGAAACTTCAAAAAACAAAAATTAGCCAGGTATAGTGGCATGCGCCTGTAGTCTCAGCTATTCTGGAGGCTGAGGCAGGAGAATTGCTTGAACCTGGGAGGTGGAAGTTGCAGTGAGCCGAGATCGTGCCACCCCACTCCACACTGGGCGACAGAACGAGACTCTGTCTCAAAACTAAAATAAAAGTTTTTCGCCCCTTGACCTAGTCATTTCACTTCTAAGTCTTCATCTCTAGGAAATAATCAAAGACAAGTAAAAATATTATGTACAGTGGTGTTCAGTGCAACACAGTTTGTGAAAGTCAAGGCAAGGAAAGCAGCTTACATTGACAAAATGGTAGAATTATGACATGATTGTAGGATATTCATGTTGAAGACTCCTAAGCAACCATTACAAATAATATTTCAACAAACATCACATCATGTAAAATGCTCATGATATTTCAAGGAAAAGAAAAAAGAAGCCCTCTATCTGAGGCTGCAGTGAGCTATGATCATGCCACTTCCCGGCAGCTAGGCCAGGGCAACAGAGTGAAATCTCATCTCAAAAACATAAAAAGAAAGAAAAAGAAAAAAAAATAACTCTACATATACTAGAATTTCAATCACACCAAACACTACTTTAAAAGAATGGAAGTAGCCAGATGAGGTGACTCACACGTATAATCCAACACTTTGGGAGGCCAAGGTGGAAGGACTGCTTGAGCTCAGAGCTCAAGACCAAGCTAGGTAACAGTGAGACCCCATCTCTCCAAAAAATAGAAAAAAAATAGCCAGGTGCGGGAGTGTGCACCTGTCGTCCCAGCTACTCGGGAGGCTGAGGCAAGATGATTGCTTGTTCTCAGGAAGTTGAGCCTGCCATGAACCGTGATCGTGCCACTGCACTCCAGCCTGGGCAACAGAACGAGACCGTATCTCAAATAAAACAAAAGAACAAACAAAAAGACAGAAAAGAAAAAAGGAAAAGAATAAAAAGAGTGAAAGCAAGTACACCAAAATGTTTTTTTTTTTTTTTTTTTTATGTTTAAGCATATATTTACTTATCGAAACACTACGTGAAATCAGGGTAAAATCAACTCAAGGAAAAATAGTTGTTTGATTCATTTGTACTTAAACCGACTAAAGTAGTACTAATGTCATTACGATGCAGCAAAGACAAGACCTCTTTCTACAAAGATTAGCATAACCAACAAATCAGGGAATATAGTAAAACTGAGCCAAAGAGGGCGAGGAAATCAATTAAGTATGTTACAGCTGAACCCTTTACCTCAATGGTTTTTAAAAAATAAGCAAAGCCTCCCAATCCCAAACAATAGGAATATCTTCATCACACTAATTTGTACTTGTATTTCTTATTCTTGAGGTTAGATTCTAAACTGTAAAGATATCCAAACTAGTATTAGATCTACTTCTCTATAGCCAGAGACAGCTTTTATCATGTTGTCCTTAGCAGCCAAAGTTATTAAAATGTCTTTTCTCCAGGAAGATCTAATAGGAAAAAAAGAAACCTCTCTGATTAGGCTCCAACCATACTCCACCCTCCATCAAACTGACTGGATAGGCATAATGGAAACCGGAACACGTGGTTTCCAAATGAGAAAAATCCTATCAGGGAGGCGGGGAAGGGACAGGAAGGTTCAGCCAGTGCCCAGACTGAAATTGAGTAATATCAATTTCACTCATCTTCACACATCTTCAGGTTGCATGTTCGTGGAGTAGTTTAGGAATAAATCCATGGTTTGTGGAGTACTACAATACCTAGTCGTCTGCTGTATTACATTAAGGCCTTCCCCAGCAGCTTCCAAGGCAGCCTCCAAGTCACTGGCAGGAGAATTTGGCTGGAACTGCAAGCAGGACTGCAGAGATTCCTCTCCACAGTTATAGAAGGGACTGTTCCAGGCCTGATTGTTCCAGGACTGGGTGCACCAGGTCTGAGCGTTCCAGGAGTGGTTGCTCCAGGACTGGATGTTCTGGGTCTGGTTGCTCCAGGATGAATTGTTCCAGGTCTGGTTGCTCCATGTCGGAAGGTTCCCAGTCGGGTTTACCAGGCATCCCTGGTGGCAGGAAGAGTAGGGGCTGGGGTAGGTAGGTGCTGAGGCCTTCTGAGTCACACCATTGCTATTCTTTGGCCAGTTGTTTTTCTGCCACCTCTTAGATTTCATTCTCTGATTCTGGAACCAGGTCTTCACCTGTTTGTAACTGAGGTTCAGGATGTTGGAAAGTTCTTGCATCTGCTGCAGGCTGAGGTATTTCTGTCTCTGAAATCTATCATTGAGTACACACAGCTGGGCGGAAGAGAACACAGTTCTGGCCTTCTGTTTCTTGACCGGGACCTTGTCTTCCTTTTTTGTGGCACTATTCTCTGCAGCAGTAGGTTGTTTGCCTTTGGGACTGGTGGAAGAATCGGGGCTGTCCTGAATAAGCAGATCCATGGAGGAAGGAAGAGGAGAGACAGTCTCCGTGTGAGGCATCTCAGCAGAAGACATTTGCAAGGATGGATAGTTTTCTCCAGGCCCACAAATCACAGGCATAGGTGAAGATTCTTTACCGTGGGATGCTTCCAAGCAAGGCAAGCTTTGGGGACAAGCTGGATCCACACTCATGTTAGTATTGAGGAAGAGGAGAAAAAAATGTAAGAGGTAGACTGGAAAAAAGGTTAAGGCAGCTTGAAGACTTTTCTGGAAGATGTTAGAGAAATATGACCTCCAGAAGCCGAAGTATCAAGAAGTTGGGATAAAGTGAGTCGCCTACACAATAACAGGAGGCAACCAGCTCAGTCCAGCAGCGTACACCAAAATGTTAATAGAGAATATAGCTAGATTTTGGAATTACAGTAATTTTTAATGTCCTCATTTATATTTTTTGGAACATCTCATGTTTGTTTGCACAATGAACATAAATTATGTTATAAGCATAAGAAAACAAAAATGTTTTTGGTGGATGAAATTAAATGGACTTTGTATTATTTTGTTCTGAAGATGTCTTTAATTTTTAGGTTTTTTTAAATAAGCAAATGAAATCACAAAACACTTGGAATGTAGGAAAAAGGGAAAGATAGCAAGCAAAAAAAAAAAAAAAAGTTCGCCCTGTCCAACAACTGATTTTTGCTAATTTTGTTATTTTTCCCTTGAATTTTCATATAAACATAATTTAATATATAAACAATGTAATATCCTTCTCCCTGCCCACTTAGCATTAGATTACAAACATCTCCCGAATAAAGGAACTGTTCTCTTATCAGTACATATTTAAAACACCTTTTTGAGCATACATTTGAAATAAAATAAAATAAATATATCTTTTGGCATAGGAAAATAGATAACGTGGTGAGAAAAATAAACAACCACTTATAGAATAAAGCCCGTGGACATGGAGGCTCATACAGAAGAGCGTAGGTTTTAATTTCTAACTTTAAAAATATTTGCGAAGCATCAAACAATTATATGTGCTACAAAAATCAACACTATTGATTCAAACTATTGATCTGAAATAAAGCTTTGGAGAGATTTTCCGTCCCCAATCATCAATTTGTTCATCGGTTTTGTTCCTAAAATATTGATTTTGAAGTCACACTATCTTAGCATTAAAGACAAAGAAGGGCCAGGTGCAGCGGCTCACGCCTGTAATCCCAGCACTTTGGGAGGCCGAGGTAGGTGGATCATCTGAGGTCAGGAGTTCGAAACCAGCCCGGCCAACATGGTGAAACCCCATCTCTACTAAAAATACAAAATTTTCTGGGCTTGGTGGCTCATGCCTGTAATTCCAGCTAGTTAGGAGGCTGAGGCAGGAGAATCTCTTGAACCTGGGAGGTGGAAGTTGTAGTGAGCCAAGATCATGCCATTACACTCTAGCCTGGGCAACAAGAGTGAAACTCCATCTCAAAAAATAAATAAATAAAATAAAAAATAAAGGCAAAGAGCCTGATTCCATTATCCTGGATTTTCAATAGTCTATTTACAAATTGCTTTATTTTCAAATAAGGACCAGATGGTTAAAATAGGGCCTTTGGAGCTGCATGCAGTGGCACACTCTTGTAATTCCAGCACTTTGGGAAGCTGAGGCAGGAGGATTGCTTGAGGCTAGGAATTTGAGAACAGCCTGGGCAACATAGTGAGACCCCATCTCTACAAAACATTTAAAAATTAGCTAGGTATGGTGGCTCACACCTGCAGTCTTAGCTACTTGGGAGGCTGAGGTTGCATTGAGCTGTGATTGTGCCACTGCACTCTAGCCTGAGCAACAAAGGGGAGATGCTCTCTGTTTAAAAACACATGCACACACACACACACAGACATACACACACTGACACATACACATATGCACACACACACATGCACACACACACACACCGACACACACACATGCACACACACATGCGCGCATACACACATGCCTTTGAAAGTAGAAAAAGGCAGTTTTAAAGTCCAAATATTTATGTCAACATCCTTAAATAAGTTGCAAATTTTATGTTTTAGCAACTGAGCACATAAAAAGGGTAGGAAGAATTTGAATTAATATCTTCCCTTGGCTAGGTGTGGTGGTTCACGAATTGTATTTATTTCAGTGGTTTCAAAACACTATTAGTAAATATTTAACTTATAACAAAAGGAGATAATATAATCTCCTGCCAGGAGTCTACCACATTAAGAAAAACAAAATTTTTTTAAATAGAAATGTTCGCCGGGTGCGGTGGCTCACGCCTGTAATCCCAGCACTTTGGGAAGCCAAGGCAGGCAGACCATTTGAGGTCACGAGTTCGAGACCAGCCTGGCCAATATGGTGAAACTCCGTCTCTACTAAAAATACAAAAATTACCCAGGTGTGGTGGTGGGCGCCTGTAATCCCAGCTACTTGGGAGGCTGAGGCAGGAGGATCACTTGAACCCAGGAGGTAGAGGTTGCAGTGAGCCAAGACTTTGCCATTGCACTTTAGCCTGGGCAACAAGAGCAAAACTCTATCTCAAATAAATAAATACATAAATAAATAAGTAAATAAAGTAGCAATATTGCTTACATTCTTGTGAGAGTTCAAAGAAAAGCCAGGTCAACATAACTAAAGTGAAAAACAAGTTCATCGAAGTTTAATATTAAACAGTGTTTACTTACAAGAATACATTTTTTAAAATTTTATATTTACATTTTTAACATGTAGTCCCACGCTCAAAAAAAAAAAAAAAAAAAAAAGAGGACATTTAAAAAATGATGGCAATTCCAAAATCTAGATATAGTGTCCATTAACATTTTGGTGGACTTGCTTCTAGCAGCAAAATACTAGGTAGTTTTCAAACCGAACCTGACAATGTAGATCTACAGTTGTTAACCTGGAAACACACCCATTTTATTAGAAAAGAAAAAACAAACAAGTTAAAAGCAAATTATCATTTGTTCTTATTTTGGCTCAAGAAAAAAGCCCTCGAGCATAGCAACAGGCTTTTATCTATGTATATAGTAATGTGCAAGGACCGCACCCCTGAGGTTGCAGTGGTCATGTTTGGGTGATGGATTATGTGTCATCTTAATTATACTCCTTTGTATGTTTCTGTATTTTGTGATTCGGGTTTATTTTTTGTTTACAGCATGAAGCTACTGGATGCGGTGGCTCACGCCTGTAATCCCAGCACCCTGGGAGGCCAAGGCGAGTGGATCACCTGAGGTCAAGAGTTTGAGACCAGCCTGGCCAACATGGTGAAACCCCATCTCTACAAACAATACAAAACTTAGCCAGGCGTGGTGGCGGGTGCCTGTAGTCCCAGCGACTCAGGAGGCTGACATGGGAGGATCACTTGTGCCCAGGAGGTCCAGGCTGCAGTGAGTCATGATTGCACCACTGCACTCCAGCCTGGGTGACAGAGCAAGACCCTGTTTAAAAAAAAAAAACCTTGAAGCAAGTGCGGCTTTCACAATCTGGAAATAAAAGAAGTGGTTTTAAATTCTGAAAAGGAAGTCATTAAATGACAGTTCAAGGAACTAAAGGTTCATCTCATGCTCTATTCATCATAAATAAATAACGCATTTGGAAAAGGAGGCAAGTTGCCGGCAGGCCTCAAATCCAAGTTTGACCCCATGGGACAGGGGGAGGAGAATCTGAGGCTTGAGCCACACTGAATCTTTCCAGCTGAGCCTCCTCTCTGTTCCTTCCCTAATAGGTGTGCTTAGGTTTGGGAGCCTGTCAAATGCCATTTTCTACCTGCTTCCCTGGAGGTCATAGTGCAGGAGACCTGGGTTGGGGTAGGGGTCTGGGGCTGTGAACAGTAACTGAGAACAGGGCTCCTCTGGGCACCCACCTGGCTGCTGAAGTTCTCCGGCCAGCAGGGTTCAGCCTCTGCCCATATTAAGGCTCCCAGGGGAGTCTTCTTCTGAAGGGCCCAGCCCCACTGGGTCAGTGGTTTTTCTCCCCATGTGCGGAGACGAGAGATTGTCGGAATAAAGACACAAGACAAAGAGATAAAAGAAAAGATAGCTGGGCCCGGGGGACCACTACCACCAAGAGGCAGAGACCGGTAGTGGCCCCGAATGCCAGGCTGTGCTGATATTTATTGGATACAAGACAAAGGGGCAGGGTAAGGAGTGTGAGTCATCTCCAGTGATTGACAAGGTCATGTGAGTCACGTGTCCACTGGACAGGGGACCCTTCCCTGTTTGGCAGCCAAGATGGAGAGACAGAGAGAGAGAGAGGACACAGCCTACACCATTATTTCTTCATATCAGAGGCTTTTAGTACTTTCACTAATTTGCTACTGCTATCGAGAAGGCAGAGCCAGGTGTACAGGATGGAACTGAAGGCGGGCTAGGAGCGTGACCACCGAAGCACAGCATCACAGGGAGACGGTTAGGCCTCCGGATAACTGCGGGCAGGCCTGACTGATGTCAGGCCCTCCACAAGAGGTGGAGGAGTAGAGTCTTCTCTGAACTCCTCTGAACTCCCTTTCCCCGTCTGCGAAGTAGCAGGTGCTTTTCCTTGACACTGACGCTACCGCTAGACCGCAGTCCACTTGGCAACGGGCGTTCTTCCCAGAGACTGGCGTTACCGCTAGACCAAGGCGCCCTCTGGTGGCCCTTCCCAGGCATAGCAGAAGGCTCACACTTGTCTTCTGGTCACTTCTCATTATGTCCCCACAGCTCCTATCTCTGTATGGCCTGGTTTTTCCTAGGTTATGATTGTAGAGCAAGGATTATTATAATATTGGAGGAAAGAGTAATTGCTACAAACTAATGATTAATGATATTCATATATAATCATATCTATGATCTATATCTAGTATAACTATTCTTATTTTATATATTTTATTACACTGGAACAGCTGGTGCCCTTGATCTCTTGCCTCGGCACCTGGGTGGCTTGCCACCCACATTCCTCAGGCTTCTAGAAAAGAGATAACATTTTGGGAACGTGACACAAAGATCTGGCAACAGTACCTCCACTGGGAGTGGACTGAAAGTGTGAAGGGGGGCCTACTTTTCACTGTCTAACTTGCATTAGTCAGGTTAGGCCAGTCTGTGCTGCGATAAGAAATAAGCCCTGACATCTCAGTGGCTTAGCCAGGAAGGGCTATTTCCCATTTCCATGAAGTCCACTATGGGTGGGGCAGCTCTTCTCCACCTTGCAGGAACCAAGGCCCCCTGATTGCCCCAGTAGGGGAAGAGAGAGACAGAGGAAGCAGACTAGCTCCTAGCTGCCTTGTCCCAGGAGAACATTTTATTTCCATTCCATTGGCCAGAGCCAGTCCCAAGGCCCTGACCAAACTGCAGGGGAGCCTGGGAAACGGAGAAGAGCCCACAGACGTTTGGTCGACTCTGTCTCTGCCACAGTGCTTTAGTGCTATTAGGATTTTGTTTTGAACCCTGTAAATATATGACTCCTCCAACGTAAAAAGAAAGAAAAGAGAAAAGGGAGAGTTGTTATCTAATGTGTATATTATATATTATGTTATATATTCTATGTATGTAACAGGTGGAATACATCAGTCACCTCTCCTCACCCAATTGAACAAAATGCAAAACACAATAGATGCTGTCAAAGAGATATGTCATAGCCACATTTTACTGAAAATAATAACAATGTCTCCAAAACTGTGGTTCCTGAAGTAAACAGACTTAAAATAAATGATGAAAGTTTGAATCTTAGCAGATACTAAACATGTAGATCTTACTTTGCACAGGGTTTAGCACATAACGGGTGCTCAGTAAATGGTTGTTGA